CTCAGAGTAATTACTGTTGAACAACCTTTTAACGATTAAAGCCAAGAAATCTACAGATATAAAATTAATATGTTTAGTAAAACCACCTGGGCATATGGATTACAACAGTGAGACACCAGAATAAAGTTCTGATATATCTAAGAAATACATATATGTATAAAAGAAAGATCTAATATAACACATTTTTGGAACATATTTAAGAAAAACATTTTTTGTAGTTATCTCTCATTTTCCATTTTCATTTTCTGAAACCTGCAATAAACCAAGCTTTTCCTCCTCAAGAGATAATGCACTGTTTCCTCAGTTTGTAAGGTTCTGTGATTCCAGAAATAAATTTTCTCATGAATGACCCTAACTGAAATCACAGATCCCCATGCAGAGTTACTGATAATTTAGTTGTCAAAAGTTGCATACTTAAACTTCAGTGGAAGGTTTTATTAGAAAAGAAGAGCATCAATAGCTATCTTCAGTCACTAAATGACTGAGCAAAAATTCTGAAAAGAAGCTTTGGTAAAATAAAATTTCAACATTCTCCATACATGTTTCTCCCACTTTCTAGCATTTAAATACTGTCACCAAAAGTAATGGACAAAGCATTTGTTGCTCACTTCCACAAGCTGTGTTTCAGATTATTACTGTACACTACTACAGAATATTATTCCAAATGACTATTTCAGTGGCAGCTTTTGTGGGGAAATTGCCATGGACTGGCTTGGTGAACGACTACTAATAACACAAAATACTAGTTCAGTAATTTTTGGTGTGTTATGGTGAAATTACACTGACGCTCACATGATTACTTAATAATTATGTTGATTAAAATATGAATATTTGGAGTAGTCAAGTCATTGTACTAAATCCCATCTTCTGATATATTCTGTCTCTAATGTATCAGTCTTGGTGCCTATAAATCATTGTCTAAATTTAGATATTGAAAGGCTTATAATATGTTTTGGTAACTTCTGTGTATTTTACGATCAAGTGTCCTCTGTTTCTTCTTGTTACATCCTGAGAACCTATCCTAATGCCATGCTTGTCCTTTAGTCCAGAAGAATACAAAATGAGGGGAGGATTATAAACTGGAAATTGATTTTGCACAGCACTGCTACCCAACCTGAACATATGAAGCAACCACATGTATACACATCCTACAGTGCTGTGCAAAATGACAGAAGACCAGTGGAAAAGATGACAGACATTGTAAAGGTAATGTCACATTAATTTTTCCCTTGTGTATTTTTCAATTTACAAGAAAATGGTATTTTTCCTAGTAAGAAGACACATACTCATTCTGTATTAATTTCCTCCAGCCCATAACCACTTGTGAGTTGTGTGAATATTGTAATTCTGTCCACGTCAACAACTGGTATTACTTTAGTCTCTGTTTTCATATGCCAACATCTAAGGGTTTTAGGATGACAAGAGGATATTGATACTAAAGATATTAACTCAACATCTAATGCAGTTGAGTGGTACAAGGAGGGAGGAACACCCTTCTGACAGACACACTAAATTGATAGCAATTCCAGTGAGTACAAGTGTCAGATCCCAAAGGAGCCTGACCTGTTGGAGTGCTTCCAGGGAGTTTGGAATGAAGTTTGTAACAAATGCCAACACAAAACTCAGACTCACTGATTCAGAGGGTTTGGTTAATTGGATCTGTTGCTTCCAGCTCCTTTTTCACCCCTTCTTCACCTTTGAGGTAGAGTGCTTTATGGAAAACAAACATTTTTGGCTTTTGGGATTGGCAGTGGGTTTCTGGATGTGCATGACAGTAATATTGTACATTTTCACAATGCTCGGTTATCTGAATGTCTTCAGAAAACATTATTAATCACATCACATCTATTCCTCTCCCTGTTAAGTAATTAGGATGTCCATAAAATACAGAGGGATGTCCCATCCTCAACCAGTTTAGGAAGGAGAAGATTGAGACAGACATGATTATGGTCTTCATATACATTAAAAGTATGTGTCCAGAAGTGTGGCAACCATGTGCATGAGCATAAGACTGAAATAAAGTAAAACTGGATTCAGGAGGTACTGTAGGAGAAGCTTGGTGGACATAGTAAAACAGCTCAAGATAAAATTAGTATTCAGTTAGAAAGATGATCCCAGTGTAAATGAGGAAGCTATGTGGCCACATACTAATGTGTCAACATGGGAGGCATAACAGACAGTGTTGAGATGAGATCATGCCTCTCACAGACTTCTCTGTAAATCTGTATTTAGCATTAATCTTCTGAGGTTTACTAAGATATATGTCATGACCACCAGTTAGCCATACTTCACTATCTTGTGTCAGGTAAGAGCATCTCCAGAGCAGATTATATGGAAGCACTAGTTCAGTCCTTTTCGCAAGTGTGTGTACCACATTCAGAGGTGCTTTCGCCACTTCATATACTTCCTCCAGTTAGACAGCTGAGGAGCTGTTCTCCTGCAGTCCAACCAGGAATTTTAGGTGAGCGAACTCTCAGTTGTTTAAGGAATTAGTGGATGGGACCTCCTGGGAAACTGCCCTCAGGGATAAAGGAGCAGAACAGAGCTGGCAGCTCTTTAAAGACACCTTTCTTAGAGCAATTCCCATGTGTAAGAAATCAGGCAAGGAAGGCAGGAGACCGATATGGCTGAGTAAGGACCTCCTGGTCAAACTAAAGTGTAAAAACACAGGAAAACCAGGGATGTGCATCCTGGAAAGAACAGGGATACGGCCCCGGAGAGTAGAAGAGGGATCTCAAAAGAGCTAAGGCACAGCTGGACCTGAATTTGGCAAGGAATGTGAAGAATAATACGAAGAGCTTCTACAGGTATGTTGGTCAGAAAAGGAAGACTAAAGAAAACGTACCTCCTCTGGTACATAAGACAGGAGAACTGGTGACAACCTACATGAAGAATGCTGAGGTACTCAACAACTTTTTTGCCTCAGTTTTCACTGGCAAATGCTCTTCCCACATCTCTCAAGCCCCTGAACCTCAAGGCAGGGACTGGGGGAACGAAGATCCTCCCATCATAGGAGATCAGGTTCAAGACCACCTGAGGAACCTGAACATGCACAAGTCCATGGGACCCGACGAGATGTATCCCAGGGTCCTGAGGGAATTGGCAGATGTAGTTGCCAAGCCACTCTCCATGATATTTGAAAAGTCATGGCAGTCGGAAGTTGTCCCCAGGGACTGGAGAAAAGGGAAACATCACACCCATTTTTAAAAAGGGTAAAAAGGAGGATCCTGAGAATTATCAACCAGTCAGCCTCACCTCCCTGACCAGTAAGATCATGGAACAGGTACTCCTGGAAGACACGTTGAAGTATATGGAACACAGGGAGGTGATTAGAGACAGCCAACATGGCTTCAACAAGGGCAAATCATGCCTGACTAATCTGGTGGCCTTCTACGATGGAGTGACTGCGTTGATGGACAAGGGAGCTACGGATGTCACCTACCTGGACTGCTGTAAGGCCTTTGATATGGTCCCCCACAACATTCTTGCCGCTAAAATGGAGAGATATGGGTTTGACAGATGGACTAGTCGATGTATAAGGAATTGGCTGGATGGCCGCGTCCAAAGAGTTACAGTCAATGGCTCAGTGTCCAAGTGGAAACCAGTAAGGAGTGGTGTTCCTCAAGGGTCCATACTGGGACCAATACTATTTAATAACTTCATCAACGACATAGTGGGATTGAGTGCACCCTCAGCAAGTTTGCAAATGACACCAAGCTGAGTGGTGCAGTTTATTCACTTGAGGGAAGGGACACCATCCAGAGGGACCTTGACAGGCTAGAGAGGTGGGCCCGTGGGAGCATCCTGAAGTTCAACAAGGCCAAGTGCAAGGTCCTGCACCTGGGTTGGGGCAATCCCCATTATCAATACGGACTGGGGGAATGAATGGATTGAGAGCAGCCCTGTGGAGAAGGACTTGGGGATACTGATAGATGAAAAATTGGACATGATCCGGCAATGTGCGCTTGCAGTCCAGAAAGCCAATCATATCCTGGGCTGCATAAAAAGAAGCATGACCAGCAGGTCAAGGGAAGTGATTCTGCCCCTCTACTCCACTCTCGTGAGACCCCACCTGGAGTACTGTGTTCAGCTCTGGGGCCCCCAGCAGAAGACATGGACCTGTTAGAGCAGGTCCAGAGGAGGGCCAAGAAAATGATCAGAGGGCTGGAACACCTCTCCTATGAGGACAGGCTGAGAGTTGGGGTTGTTCAGCCTGGAGAAGAGAAGGCTCCAGGGACACCTTTCAGTACTTAAAGGGAGCTTATAAAAAAGACAGAGAGAGACTTTTTACCAAGGCATTGTCACCTGACACTAAGGGGACAGACAGGTTCTTTTAGGGTTCCTTGGCAGAATGATGACAGCACTAAATTGTAGTTACAATTAAAGCTTTATTTTCTTAACAAGATATTATGATTAGTATAGCACAGAATTTATGATTAGAATGGGACAGGATTTCTACAAGCAGAATCAATATAGTACAATCTATAAGTAGCATAATACAGAATTTATAATACAACTTATGATTTCTAATCACCTAGGTCCTAACTTAACTTATGGTTTCTAATCACCTTGACCCTCTGCAGATCGGGTCAAATCTTAATACATGGCTTGCTGTATCAATATAACAATCATAATCTAGACTCGAAAATCATATAAAAGAATGAGTCACTCAATCCTCGGAGGAAGCAGACGATAGTGAAGGCGTCCCTGGCCACCGGGGGGGGTCACAGGTCTCACTGTCCAGCAGCAGTTCCAGTCCAAGATCCCCACTTAGGACTTGTAACTGCTTGATTTTATAGACAGTGCTATGTGTGCTGTTACGCTTCCCTGTTCTGTGACGGGGTCATCAACAACACCTGGTTGGCTGGGTGCCTGGGACCTTCAAGGCTGGCAAGGAAGGGAGTAATTGGCCTGGTGCCCAGGAATCTTGAGGCTGGTAGGGAGGGGAAGAAGAAATCTGTTTGGTTTGTCTACTTGGTTCACAGGACCTTCAGGGCCTGATAACGAGGGGAAGGGAATGAATACGTGACCTGCTTAGTCACAGAGAATGGCTGCTTGCCTTATAAAATGGCATTAGTTATGCTAACCACATTACTAGGGGTTGGGAGCAGGGGGTACTGGTCACAGGCATGTAGTGACAAGACAAGGGGCAACAGTTTTAAAGTGAAAGAGAGTCAATTTAGATTGGACATAAGGAAGAATTTTTTTACGATGAAGGTGGTGAGACACTGGAACAGGTTGCCCAGAGAACTTGTGAATGCCCCATCCCTGGAAACATTCAAGGTCAGGTTGGACAGGGCTTTGAGCAACCTGATCTAGTGAAAGATGTCCCTGCCCATGGCAGGGGGTTTGGACTAGATGATCTTTGAAGGTCCCTCCCAAACCAAAACATTCTATGATTCTATGATTCTCTCTCTCCAAGACTGCAACAGATCATACTCTAAAATGACATGTTGTATCTTGCCAATATGGAACCTGAATTTATAACTTCCTAATTTGGGGAGAGATTCAGTATTCAGACAATATAGTCCTTTTGATAGTTATTTTTGGTGTATAATGATCTAGTTCTTTTCTAGATGCTAGTGGCTCCTAAATGAAAAAGTAGCATCTATACACACACACATGTAAATCGCTATTCAGAACAAATCTTACTCCAGTCAATTTTTCATTGACAGCTAACCTCTTTTATGCTATTCCATATTCTAGCACCATACCGCACAGGGGTACCTGAATGAAAAACCCAAGGTCACAGAAGATATCAGTAGTAGCAGTGACAAAGCAGAAGATAAAATCCCATCAGAGGCTATCCTACAATTATTGCAAAGTGCTTTTAGGAGACAGATGGCTAAGAAGCGACTGGCAAAGACGACTGCAAGTGAGAAGTTAATATTCCACATGAACACTTCTATCAAGCCCTTGAAAAATTAAAGAAGCCATCCCAGTTAAAAGACTCAGAAGAAAGTCTGTACAGTGACTACATTGATCTTTTTTACAATGCCAAGCCATACAAGCATAGAGATGATAAACTGCTGCAAGCCTTGGTTGATATTATGTATGAAGGAAACTAAACTATAGTATATGTTGCTGAGTTGGAAATATTCATGCTCCTCATCCCACCTCTATAGGTTTTTTTTGAAAGCCTATTGTATGCTCTAGTTGTGTGATTGCTGCTTTGATTGCTTCATATTTAACATAAATATCAAGTAAGGGGGAAAAAACGGATGTGGAAGGATAAGGCAGTAAACTGATGATTTTTAGTAATAGCTTTTTTCAAAGCCTTTCTTCATTAACATCAGAGTAGATTTGTCCCCTTGGGCATGAAATGCAACAGTATTCCCCTAAAAACCCTAATGCTCTATTTTAAACAATTTTCACATTACTTATTCTTCCAGTCTATTCCCTTAGCATGCAGCAGGATTCAAAACCTGAATTACCACGCAGTTTTGAACTGAACTGCCAAAGCTATGGGAAGATACTCTCATCCCTGGATGAATATTGCAGTCTGTCTTATATGTGGCATTTATTCAACATTTAACACTGGCAGCCAGTACTGCTTCTGTCACAGGTTTTTGTTCCTTTTCCAAACAACAGTGCACCCTCCTGTTCTCTAGGAAAGGAGCAGCTGGGAAGCTGGACTTGGGTTGGAGCATTGCAGGAAAGTGCCAACCAGTCATTCACGATCCATGCCTGAAAAGAGGCATGGGACTTTATTCTAAGCACACACTAAGGAAGTTATTAATGATTTAGACTACAGATAGTTATACGCTAACATAAACAAGCCCTAAATGAGACATCCAGACCATGGGATGGCATTCTCACCACATAACTTTACCTAAATGAAGTGCCTGAATTATGAGCCTAGTCTTTCTAGGCTGTATATAGTTAATGAAGATAGAGTCTCCTATAGGCAGCACTTCAAAGCACTTGACTGGTTTTTACGTTGGTTCTGAATTACCTGATGGAGTACCAGTATTTTTATTGACTATATGAGTTTTGGGGGATCAACCGCCTACCTTTGGAGCCCCAGTTAAGTTTCTAAAGTTAAGTAATATAAATGTCTCTTGAGATGTCTACATCCCCAGCAGTCAGGACAACAAAGCTGCGGTCATTTTGTCCTTTCCTTTGTCTATGGCCAAAATGGTATAGAAAGGGAAACTGTATCAGCAAAGTCCACTTAAAGACTGGATCTTTGAGTGTCTGTGGTAGCTTGTAACATTTCCTAAATATTTAGGAAATTAAGGGAAAATTCATGGGGGGAGGGATGAGATAAAAAATATCAAGAGAAAGGATTTAGAAATAGAGGGAAAGACTGCATGGGATGTGGAGGAAGGAGAGGAAAAGAAGGAAGGAGAAGGTGAAAGAGGAGGTAATAGAGGAAGCTGTCAGGGAGCAGCAAGGGCAGACTGCTCCCTAACATGAACAGTTGTAGGAAAAAAAAATAAAAAGAGAAATAATAGATTTAAAAAAACCAGAGTAGTGATAAACACAGTGAAAATCCTTTAGAATAATAATAAGAAAAAAGGTAATGAAGGGAGAAGGAGGCTAGTCAGAAAGGTCTATCAACCTATCGGGTGAAAAAAATGATATCTGGAGCAGAATGGTATGAATGTTAGTATATTAGACAAATGGTTTTCCACACTTGCCTCTTCAAAGTAAAAATCAAGATTGACTTTATTTTGTTGTTCATAATTAAAAAACAGTGCAGTATTGGATGGTCAGAAATTGGAAGGGATCTAGGGCAAGGAAATGAAGATTCTCAGTGGAAGGAAAACCACAGTATTTCATTGCCATGCTAAAAATAATTCCAATAAGTGCTGACTAGTTTTCACTTCTCTCTCTCTCTCTCTCCTATCTATTGAAACGTATTTTCCAAACATTCTACAAATATTTGTTACTCTTTCACTATCTGTTCCATAAAATGATGCAAGTGTCTCTAAAACAGAAATTTAACATTTTGCTGATAATTGATCAGTTTGGACAGATTTTTCAAACTTCACACTAACCTTTTTAATTTAAGGCAAAATCTATTTAATGTAGCAGTACTTAAATCTTCTTTTATGGAAAAATGGGACTGCCTAAAGACAACTTTGAAATATGTCTTACCAAATTTAAGATTTGAAAAATCTCTGCTTATTCATTCACTTTAATGGTTTCATGTCTGTCTTGGGCTTTGTCTGCATTTTTGCCACATTTAGATAAATTTAGCTTAGTTGATTTCAAGAATTCTTCCATATTTCTACTCCATGTTATCATACTTCAGAGATAAAAACTCCTAGATTGACTATCTCGTATAATAAAACACTCCTTCTCTACTAAATAATTTGCGTGATAGAAGTGATAGAAAAATACATAAGTGGTCCAAATCAGAAATTTTTCTTATGCTTATCCCTTCAACACACAAGGTTTCTGGCAATTCCTAACTACTGAACAAGCAAAATGTTAAAATTTCTAATTGCTGCTATTGGACAGTGAGAGCACTAACTTATTTCCACTAATGTTTAATTTTCAGAACTGGGAGTTAATCTCTACAATACATATTCCTGTATGGTGAGTTAGGACCATCTTTAGTCCTATGCAATGAAGCTTAGAGGCTGCTTCCCCCAGATAACAGCAATTTTAGCCACTCTTCAGTTAGGTATGTTAAAGTGAGGAAAGTACTAGCAACAATCAATCAGCCCTTGAAGAAGTACTCGGATTAAACAGGTGGAAAACATAGGAACCTCCTTTGTTTTAAGATCAGTTCCCATGTTCTAGCCAAAGTTTCATCAGCGGACAACTTTAAAGTCTCTCTTTTGAATATTTCCAACCCAGAGTAGATTGTAAAGGAGTAAATTATTTTTATTGTTAGTCTTTCCTTGGTGCCTTTGTGGGTTTTGTGAAAAAATGTAAAAGGAAGAAAAAAAATACAGTTTTCTTGCAGAATTTTAAATTATATATTCTTTACAGGAATTTATAATATAGCAAGGATTTTATTGAACGGATTGAATTTTAAAAAGCATAATAAATTATATTAAAGAATCAGATTTTTCTTGGGAAAGAGAGAATTTCATCCAATAAAGGTATTTTTTAAAAGGCATGTTCCAACAGTATCTGCAACATGTATGTGATGTGATGTTAAAATTTGTCTAAATTTGTCTACTAGTAGCGAAATACAGTGTGTTAGCAGAGCTCAGAATGTGTGGTCTTAACATCTGTAAAGAAAACGATAAGATCAAGTCAATCCACTGACTTAAACTGACCAGGCAATATAGTTTAGAATTAAAAGTAATGGGCTGAGAAAGTAATAAGGGGTTGGGTGGACAAAAAGGAAAATTTATTGAAAACAACAAATCACAGAGGATTTTTTCATGAGAAAGAACCCTAGAGTGCTTACCTTTCATGACTGAAGTAAAAAAAAGTGTAGCTGATAACATCAGTGACAGCAGTATTTGTTATTGTGGGTCTGAAATACACAACTCTTCTGCTTATTTCACATATAGGCATATGTGTTAGAAGCACTATAATGAATTAATACAGAAGAATAAGTCAAGAAGATCAAATTAAATATACAGATCCTCATTTCCTTATGTCAAAGCAGTACTAGTTAAAATGTTTTTTTCCAACTTCTCCAGTAAAGAAACAAGCCCTTATATACCCTTACTGGAAATAGTTGTGGGTGTCGTGGTTTAATCCCGGTAGGCAGCTAAGCACCACAGCCATTTGCTCACTCCCCTCCCAGCAGGATGGGGGAGAGAATTAGAAGGGTAAAAGTGTGAAAACTTATGGGTAGAAATAAAGACAGTTTAATAGGTAAAGCAAAAGCCGTGCACGCAAGCAAAGCAAAACAAGGAATTCATTCACTACTTCCCATCGGCAGGCAGGTGTGCAGCCATCCCCAGGAAAGCAGGGCTCCATCACGTGTAATGGTTACTTGGGAAGACAAATACCATAACTCCGAACGTCCCCCCCTTCCTTCTTCTTCCCCCAGCTTATATACTGAGCATGACGTCATATGGTCTGGAATATCCCTTTGGTCAGTTGGGGTTAGCTGTCCCAGCCGTGTCCCCTCCCAACTTCTTGTGCATCCCCAGCCTACTCGCTGGCGGGGCAGTGTGAGAAGCAGAAAAGGCCTTGACGCTGTGTAAGCACTTCTAAGCAATAACTAAAATATCCCTGTATTATCAACGCCGTTTTAATCACAAATCCAAAACGTAGCATCATACAAGCTACTATGAAGAAATTTAACTCTATCCCAGCCAAACCCAGTACATTCTCCGCCCCTTATTCTATACCATTTACATCATGCTCAGGTCCCCCACTATCCAATAGATCCTCATTAACCACCACCCCTCTTCCTGTCCTTTGATATATATACAAATATCATTCCCTTAGCCTATGGATCACCGCTGTAAAATGTCCATAAAATGTCCACGAAATGTCCATTGAGTTCATTTAGTCCATGATTTTGGGCTCCATCTCTTATGGTGGTCACTCAGGACAGGAGAGGTGGTGTGTTAGGTGGAGTTACTGGGCACGAAAGCCACCTCAGGTCAGGTCACTGCTACATCACAAATCCAAAACATAGCCCCATATGAAGAAAATTAACTCTATCCCAGCCAAAAGTAGTACAGCGGGGAACTGTCTTTTTAGGGAAATATACTGATCTGTACTGAGGAACGCCTCCTGTTCTGGCTGTCTTTCAGCACCCTATAGCATAAGAAAAGGAAAAGCCTGTGTTTGTAGGCCAGAAGCAGGCAGAGGAATGTTTGGCATACAACTCCACAGACACCATACAGCAATTGTGTAGAATTTGGGGTGTTATGTGGGCTGCTCTAACTTACACTTACGCCCAGACAAGATCAGAAAGATGTAACTTTTTACATGAAACTCCCCCTTTTCTCACTGTTACACTGAGAGGATATCATGTTCACTGAGCTGAGATGAACAAGTCTGAGCTTTCCAAAGTTTTAACTTCTGTAGCTTGAAGATGTACGAATCATTTATATATTTAGATTTAGTTTCCTTCTTAGGTCTCAAATATCTACTGCTCAATTAACAAACCTCTTTTATCAAATGCTGTTTTGATAGT